ATTTATCACAATCAGGGATTTTAAACATTTCAGTGAGGATGATTTTCTTATCGATCTTTCTACATCGGGCATAGAAGAATTATTTACGAAATCTAATATTGATGAGAAGGTAATGCACATTACAAGCGTTATCGTCGAAACCTATAATAAATATGCACCTTTTAAAACTGTAAGAGTTAATAAGCCACCATCACCTTGGTTAACAAATGAACTACGCACTGTTCTTGATGAAAAGAATACTGCACAAGCTTTATATAAGACTAATAAGACCGTGGACGCCTATAATAACTTCAAATCGCTTAGAAACCGCGCTCTTAACATGATCAGGAGGGACAAAAAGACATATATCGAAAGTTTGGCCAATGAAAATGATTCAAAAAAATTATGGAAGTCTCTCAAACAACTTGATATAAGTTTATCGTAGTAAACCAACCCTTCTGGCAAGTTTTAATGACCCTACCAAAATTAATGATTATTTTATGTCTGTTTATAGCTATAAACCTGTTGATATACTAGTTTGCGGAAACTATTTCAAAAATAAATTGAGCTCTGAATATATTTTTTCATTGAATAAGATTCGTTCAAATGACGTATACAGGCAATAGGGAGCCTAAAATCTGATGCGAAGGGAATTGATGGTATATCCCTGTCAATGATCCAGCTTTGCCTGCCAGTTATTCTCCATCACATCGTCCACATCTTTAACGACTGTTTGGAAAAAGGCTACTTTCCAAACACATGGAAACAAGCTCTAATTATTCCAATTCCTAAAAAAAATGAAACCCACTGAGTATAATGATCTCAGACCTATCAGTTTATTACCAATTTTATTCAAAATTTTAGAAAAAATTATAAAGTTCCAATTGACCGCTTACCTAGAAAAATTCTTTATACTTCCCGACACTCAACCCGGATTTAGACAAAATTATAGTACAACATCTGCCCTACTTAATCTGCAAGACAATATTTTAAGTGCCTTAGATAAGAAAATGGCACTAGCCTTAATTTCTATAGACTGTTCGAAAGCCTTTGACAGCATCAATCATAAATTATTACTTGCTAAATTAAATTACGCAGGTCTTGACAGTGTATCCCTTTCATTTTTCGACAGTTACCTTCATCAAAGAACTCAGTGTGTTTTTCTCAATCAAGAAATGTCTCAAGTGACAATAATTCCCTCAGGCGTACCTCAGGGCTCTGTATTGGGGCCGCTTCTGTTCCTCATATATACGTTCGACTTAAGCAAAAGTATTGATAATTCTCATGTCTAGTCATTTGCAGACGATACGCAATTGCTTCATTATTTTAACCCAGATAATGTCAATAATACTACTCAAATTTTACAAAACGCTGTTAATAAATTAATTAAATACTCTTTAGATCACAATCTACTTATTAATCCACAAAAATCTAAAATGTTATTATTTTGCGCACAAAGAAAAACATACAATGCAACACAGCTCTTGAACATTCAGATAAATAACCAAATCTTGCAATTTTCTGATTCTGCAAAAATTCTTGGTGTTGTTTTTGATACAAAATTAAGGTTTATTGAACATGTTAAAAGTCTATCTCAGAAAACCTACCTACGGCTGCGCACTCTTATAGCAAACAAGTATTTACTAAATTTTAAGATGCGTAAAAAACTATGTCAAGCATTGGTCATATCTATACTAAATTATTGTAATATCGTATACTATACTTGTTTAGACAATTTCAATAAAAACGTTATTCAAGTTATTCAAAACAATTGTATACGATTCATTTTTGGCTTACGTAAATTTGATCATGTATCGGCGAAATATCCCGTTCTAAACTGGTTAAAAATTAATGACATGGTCAAGTATCACTATTCAGTTTTTGTTCACAAATTGCTGCTCACGTCTAAACCTTATTACTTTAAGGAAAAAATTTCATTTAATAATGATGTTCACTGTAGAACTCTCAGAGAAAATAATATTAGAATACCCCTGCATACGTCTACACTTTTTAAACGCAGTTTTTCTTACAATGTTGCTATTATTTATGATGACCTTCCTAAAGTATATAAAGAATTTTCATTACCTGTCTTTCGACAAAAAGTTAAAACATTATTACTCAACCCTCCAAACATATAATTTACGTAATCATTCATTTCTTTTTTATTCCATCTTTAATTCAGATTAATAATTTTTTGGTGCATTTGGGTTTGGAAAGTAAGCCTTTTTCTCTTTTTTTAAATTTTACTTTCGATGTAATGAACCAAATCTGTTTGTGGATAGTGTATTCTTTTGAACATCTGCTAGAGACTATATGGTTAAGTGTAAGAGTAGCAGCATGCTAAACTTCGCCATATAAGTCTGACATTTGGCTATACTACAATGTAATTGTGGATAAATAAAGACGTCTATTATTATTATTAAGTATTTATGGGGAAAATCTTCATCTCGGATTTTACCTTCCATTTGGAACTCGCCACAATCGGCTACGTCAAGTCACACCACTCGTTAGGAATTCAACCGCATAAGTGACTCAAACTATCTTCAACTTACCTAGTAAACAGGTAATCTAAGATCATTACCGCCTAAACTCGATTTGTATACCTGGCGTCTGATGCCAGCCAACTGCAGGCAGCTGATTTAATCAATGTGTGCGTGTGAGACAATTAATTACATCATTGCAAGCAAGTGTATCCACGCTAGTGCGAATTTAATTAACATACATTCACGTGTAACAGGCATACTGACCAAAATTGCATTGCAGTTGAAACGGCCCACTGGAATCGTAAGTTTTCGCTGGTAGAGCGGAACTCATAAATGTTGTACTTACTGTATAACAGATTTTTAGTGTAGTAAGCGGAAGGATCACGTTATATTGTTTGGATTACACTGACGGTTCCGTGAGCTTTGTTGGAACTAACTTTATTATGCAGTTATGGACTGGTAGAGGCTCAATAATCTCGTGTAAAGAAAACAAGCAGCTCAAATAGTGTGGGTGAACATTACGGTTCTCAAAAATACTTTCAAAGTCATAGGCAGATATACTAAGTGACATATAAACCGAACACCCAGTTTAAATGGTCTTATTTTAATAAAAGTGCTTAATGAAGCATAATAAGTAAAAGATAAAAATTTCAAAATGATTGCACTGCTTTAAAGCCCTTTGACATTTAATAATGTGTGGATGCACCCTGATGTGCTACGCATTCTCCAACGCGCCTAGGCATGCTTCTGATCAGGTGGTCAATGTCCTCCTGTGGTATCTCATTCCAGGCAACCACCAACTCCTCTCGAAGTGCTTCTAGAGTCTAAGGAGGACGTTGCAAATTGAACAATCTCCTTCCCATCATATCCCACACGTGCTCAATTGGGGATAAGTCGGGAGATCTTGGTGGCCATGGTAACAATGTGACATCATTATGTTGAAAGAAGTCTATTGGGACTCTTGCAACATGTGGTCGGGCATTATCTTGTTGGAAAGTTGGATCTGCCAGGGTGTCAAGATAGGGAAAAGATGGAGTTCTAGAACTTCGTGGATATAACGCTGCGCGTTCATGTTACCTCTGATGAAGATTAAAGGTAACCTGGAACCATAAGCTATAGCACCCCAAACCATAACTCCAACAGTGTGATGAACATGTCTTTCAACAAAAAACTGTAGATTCTTCCTTTCACCACGTCGCCTTCTAACCCTGGCACGACCATCGTGCATGCCTAAACAAAATCGAGACTCGTCACTAAAGACAATACTGATCCATTCCTGATCCCAGAGTGACCGTTGTCTGCACCACTCAAGGCGATTACGTTGGTGTTCTCGAGTTAAAGGGAGGACCCAGTGTGGCCGGTATGAAAACAAGCCAAAACTTAAGGCCAATAATCTTAGGCGGCGATCTTCACGGTCTGTTGTTCTACGGCGGCGTCCAGTGCCCCTTGCTCTTTGCATACGGCCTTCTCGAAGCCGTGCCTGACAACACCTAACCACAGTGTCTACACTTCTTTGCACTCTAACTGCAACTGCCCGAAAAGAAAGTCCAGCTTCCCGAAGTCCCACTATACGGCCCCTATCAAACTCAGTAAGTTGACGAAATCGTACAGGTCTCCGTACTCTAGGCATCGTAACCGATCGTAAAGGATGTCAAGAACCAAAATCCGCCAACGTTGATTCTTTACTGCGGCTGAAATATTCATTTTTAGAGCGTTAGTGAATTAAAAAAAAGCAGTATAAATACCGGAATGTCCAACTGATAAGGCTGAAAATTTTTTCACTTGTTATTTACAGTAAGATAAATACATTCACCAACTTTTATTAAAATAAAACCATTTAAACTGGGTGTTCGGATTTATATGTCACTTAGTATAATATTTACGAATTATCACATTAGTTTTTTCGTAGCCATGGCTGATTATTCAACAATTCATTTAAATTCGCAGTACATTTCCTATCATGTGACAAATTTTTTAGTTTGATTTTATTCAAAAATGGCACAATTTATCGATATTCAATAAGGGTACTTTTTTATGTAGAAATCCCTAGATTTTCAAATTCTAAAATTGGATTTCAAAAATAGAATAACACAAAAATTTTGGAGCTAAAATAGCCTGAATCCGATCCTGTTTCATACGCTTCCAAACAAAACTGTCTAAAATTGTTAATATTTTTAAATCCAGCATAAAAAACTAGGCCAGGATACCAGATTTTATGTCTTTATCTCAACATGTTTCGGAAATATTAAGGAAAAACCATCTTCAGGAGAGCCCCTTTAAAAGACCGTAGCGCCCTTAGGGGACGTTTGTCGACGTATGTTTGTATGAACTGTTCTTCCTATTTTAAGCTCTAGAAACCGCTGGTAGAATATTGCACACTGTTTTAGGGACACCCTGTATATTGAACACCCTGTAGAACCTATTCAATACGCACCAGCCGAATCTATCGCTTTCCATCTACGTATCCTTCGGGATCGAAGTTTATTTAGGACAACAACATTAGCCTATACAAATAATTAAATAAATTTACTGTACAAGTTCTTGATGTCAATGGTCCGCGACTCATCTTTGGTGACAGACGATGTTCCAAAAGACAAGTGCCGAAGGGCAAAGGACACTGCAAACAATTTTAAACTTGATTGTTTTTCTTTGCTTAAGAATCCAAGCTGTTTGGCTGAGCGGGAACAAAACACTTGTAAGTAAAAGGATATTAAAAGGCCTAATGGCCTCTGTCGCTCAAAGAAACAATTGGATTACAGTAAAATGGATTTCATCCAGTGAGATAAACTGATTAGGTTGATAATAGAGAGGAGATAATAATAAAATTGTGAAAAATGCGCCGTGCGATCCCACCATTACTCCCGCCGCTGTCTCCTGGAGGCTTCTTGAGAAAAGCTCTCGCGTTGCAAGCCTTCCTTTTCGCAAAAAGTCCAGAAAAGATGGAATGCAATGAAGATTCCAACTTTTCTGCACAATCACAGAAAGGGGGTTACCATTTAGCTTCCGGTAGCTCAGTCGGTGGCATGAAGACATCTACAGGCGTGTAGCTGTGTGTCGACCATGGCATGGCTAGAGGATAGAAGAACAAACAGAACACAAAAATTTAACAGACTTTATTTAACAAAAAAGCATTTTCATTACATTTGAAATTGAAATTTTAAAGAACAAAATAAGTTCTAAATCTTTGGCGCTGCTATAAAACTATACACTTATCTTTTGCTAAGCTGGTCGATTTTGACTGGACTGAAGCGAGGATGGCCAGGTGCTTGAAGTGGAGGTCCCAGTTATGAGGGGTGACCTCACATTTAGTGGCTTCAAAACTAGATGTAGGCGAAGTTGAACTTAAAGGGGGTGGCCCCAATCATTTTGTCCTATTCGGACACACATTCTGCAAACCGCTAGCACATGATGCTATTCATGCTACAGAGAACAAAATTCTTAGCTCCTGTTCGATCGGCGGATCAAGTGAAAAGGAAGCGCGAGGAAGATCACAGATCAGGAACTCCGCATCAAGCGCGCTCCAAGCGGAAAATTTTCCAAGTAAAAAAGCTAGAGATGGGATTAATGAGTTGCGATCCTGAAATGATAATCGAGAAGTGATTTAATAAATACAATCGGACGGTGAAACCGTTACAGCGTGACCTCCTACTCTACTCAGAACTTTTCAAGACCTTGTTTTTATTCCTTGGAGATGTTACAACGCACACAAATGCACATACGTGCAAACAGCATTTTATCACGCTTCATACAAAACCGGATACTGGGAAGAAACAACGATCCCGAATGTAGGATATGCAAAGAGAGCGATGAAACCGTATTCCACGTAATGTTTGCTTAGCGCGAATACGTTACCCCTCACGAGTAGACTAGACAAGCAAATCAATTCGTATACTAATCTTCTAGTGATTGCTAGCTTCGACAATCCTGGCCAGAGGTGGAACGATAATGAATTACAATTTAACAAACTTTTTTCGGCACCAGCTGGAGGTGTAGCTAGTGAACAAGTTTTTTCTGAGACAGGCAACATTTATGATGTCAGACGAAACAGGTTAACACCTGACAGGGCACAAACTTTATTACTTAAATTATAAATATTAACGATTTTAATTTATATAGGTCTTGAAGCTCCAGTCCTCTATAGTATCTTTCATCTTCATTTACTAATGTTTCACCTTTTGCCAAAAATTTAAGACCGAATACAGCTGTTACGTTATGTTTGTATAGATATATGTAAGAGATAAATGTTACTTTAGGGGTGGATTTCAGCAGCATTGTCAAATCAACAGTCCGTTATTCTCCACCTATAGGGTGTCAGTCCGTCAAATACAGCGAATGAGCTTCAAGTTCCAATCACCAAATTTTGGCAACCAATAGCTATGAAATGTTGAAAACAAAAGCATGAGATGACAGCTTGTCATTGAAACATCACCAGCTTATTGAATATTAAGAAATTACATATACATACATACATTACAAAATAACAATGGAAAACCCACAAAGCGATATAACATAGACAGCTTAAGGGATGAATCCACCAGTTTCCTTTACAAACTACGTTTAGCACAAAAACTGGACGAAGATATTAACGGCAAGGCAGAAGAAATGTATGAAACTTTGAAACACAAAATTCACGAAGCAGCACTAGAAGCCCTTGGTGTTAAAGATAGAACGGAACACAAAAATTCTTGGTGGACGGACGATTTAACCCAACTGGTAGAAGAAAAGAAAAACTTATATCTTAAATGGTTAACTACAAAAGACGATGAAGATCGAAAAAGCTATAATCGTTTTAAATATATAGTAAAAAAAAAAATTAAAAAAATTAAAAACAAAACATGGGAAACCAAATGTGCTGAAATTAGCTCAATGGTAGGAGGATCTAGGTCTAGAGAAGCTTGGCGAACTATAAATGGTCTTAAAACAAACACGAATGAAAGAAGAAAAATAAATCCCATAAAAATAGAACAGTGGAAAGACTACTACAATAATCTATCTGGCAGAACAACGTGGAGAGTATTTAGACACGCAACTAGATATAGATCAAACGGGAGTTAACAGAGTAGATACCATTCAATTAGAAGAAATAAAAACAGCATTACAAAAAATGAAAAATAATAAAGCTCCGGGACCGGGGGATTTGCCTATCGAGTTAATTAAACACGCCACTACAAGAACGCACGAGCTACTTTGTGTAATTTTTAACAAGTGCCTGGAAGGGGAAACGATTCCCAGAGATTGGAGGAGCTCTTACATAAATTCCATTTATAAAAAGGGAAACAGGAGTGACTGTAGTAATTATCGGGGTATTAGTATTACATCGTCGATCGGAAAGCTGTACGAAAGAGTCCTAACAGCCCGAATAGAAGACGAAGCCACGGAAATTGAAGAACAAAGTGGATTTCGACCTGGGCGATCCTGTGTCGACAACATATTTACAATAAAACAACTGACAGAAAAGAGATTAGCAAGAGGAATGGAGCTACACGCTACTTTTATAGATCTCCGCAAGGCATTCGACTCCGTCCCTTTGCAGAAATTATGGATCGCAATGAAAGAAGCAGGCATAAATAGCAAATACATAAACGCCGTAAAAGCAATGTATAGAGAAAATCAAGTGGTCGTTAAAGTCGGAAATCAAATTTCTGAGGCTTTCCCACAAACAAAAGGTGTTAAGCAGGGCTCCTGCCTCTCTCCAACCCTGTTTAAAATTTATCTCTGCAGCGCTTTAAAACAGTGGATAAGAAAGTGCAGCCCCATGGGTATATGGTTAGAGGACTTTCACTTGTATACAATCCTCTTTGCAGATGATCACGTAGTCTTTGCAGAAGACCAGCAAGACATGACTTACATGATAAACAAACTTATAGAAGAATTCACTGAATGGGGTTTGGAGATAAATATACAAATGACACAATGCATGACTATAGGAGGCACAAGACAAGACATCGAAACAAAAAGCGGAAAAATAGAAAACGTCGGACAGTACCAGTACCTAGGAGTTACAATAGATGAAAGCGGAAAGGATAATAAAGACATACTAAGGAAAATAGGAAAAGGAAAAAATTATGATTAAAGCACTACATCCGATCTTGTGGAGTAAGAACCTAACAAAGAAAACAAAAAAAATTATATATCAGGCTATGATTCAGCCAGTACTGACGTATGGGTCAGAAGCGTGGGTTGTAGATAAAAATATGTCACAAAAGCTTTTCTCAACCGAAATGATGTACTGGAGAAGATGTTCCGGTTTAACTTTACTTGACCATGTTAGAAATGAGACCATCAGAGAAAGAATGGAAGTCGAAAATACAATAATGGACGATATAACAGAGAGGCAGTTAAAGTGGTATGGACACCTGCAACGAATGAACGAAGAAAGGATACCATTAAGGGTTTGGAAATGGACACCAGCACAAAGAAATAAACGAGGAAGACCACGAAGGAAATGGATTTCAAACATCCATACCGCAATGGAAAGTAGAGGACTACATGAAGGAGACTGGAACGATAGGATACGATGGCGTATGGGTTGCGAGAAGCGACCTTAGGTTGCAGAAACTCGCCATATATCATATATCATACATATACAGTGGACCTCCGATAATCCGGCCCTGTCTAATCCGGGGCCCCCTGTAATCTGACATGTCTTTGAATATTAGATACATACGTATTTGACAATCTTCGCTAATGTAGATCACGCAGGTTTGAACAGGTTACAACTTGTACACGCCACCGCTATCGTGCTCGACGCGTAAGCATTGTTTTACTTAGTTTGCATTTGACTACTGGTGATAGCGGTACGGCCTAGCGTGCGTTCATTGTTTACTATTTATTCATTGTGTATTATGTTAAGTATGGTACTTAGTAATTTCATCACAAACTCAGAAGCGAAAGCGCAAAACATTGACAATTCAAGGAAAATGTGATATTTTAGACCGCTTAAATCGCAATGAAACTTTCAGTAGTTTAGCAGGTGAATACGGCGTAGGCCGATCTACAATTTATGACATTAAAAGAAACCAGGAGAATATTAGAAGTTTGTGTCAACTACTGTATGCAGGCCAGGCAAGAGACAGACACTCAAGAAAGCTGAACATCCAGAAGTGGAAGAAGATTTGTACATGTGGTAACTTCAGGAAAGAAATAGGCATGCACCAATTTCAGGACCCATGTTGCCATGGAAGCTAAGTTTTTTTATAAGGAAATAAAAAAAAGATGATTTTGTGGCCAGCAAAGGATGGCTAGAACGTTTTAAAAGTCGTCATGGCATACATTTAATGACTATTACAGGAGATAAACTTTCTAACGATGCCACCTGCATAGAGCAATAAGATTTTTGCAAAAGGTGAACGATTTAAACCTTGACCCGACAGGTGTACAATGCAGACGAATCAGAGCTTTTTTGGCGTGTGATGCCTAACAAAACTTTCGTTTCTTGTAACAAAAAATCCGTACCTGGACGAAAAGTACGTAAAGAGCGTGTAACCATACTACCATCTGCTAACGCTGCGGGCACACACGCGCTTAAGATGATGGTCATTGGGAAATCTAATAAACCACGGGCATTCAAAGCCATTGATTTACCTGTACACTATTGCGGACAAAAAAGTGCATGGATGACAAAAGACCTTTTCAAAAAGTGGTTTGATGAATGATTCGCACCTGAAGTTAGAAAATGGTTAAAAGATCATAATTTTCCTCAA